GGCCCCGCGGTGCTTTGAGACAGACTCACGGCCGGCGATCGCTGAGTCCAATGGGTGAGGTGGGGCACCGCCCTACAACCCAATTCAGACTACTCTCTCCCGGACGCCATTTTTATACACACACCCGACGGTTCATGACTTTAACCACCCCCAACACCCACAAAACAGAGGTCCGGGGCCGTGGGCCCAGCCTCTGCCACCCCCTTCAAAATAATCACAAACACCATTTTGGTTAAAAACTTTCTGCAAATGGGTCATTCCTCTTGATAGCTGCCACAGACACTCCCCCCTCAACCCAGCTCTCTGCTCACAGCTGGTTGGGGTAGCGGCGCTGGGAAAGCAGCCTGGGTTGGTTGGGTCGAGAGGCAGCGGCGAGCTGGGAAGCAGAGAGAGAAGGGGTAAGGGAGGGTTGTACCCCAAAATGGACCCCCCGCCCTGAGGACCCAGCCACAAGCATTCCCCCCCCTCCCCCACCCCCCATTTCCCTCCTCCATCGCATCCCCCCATCATTCTCCTCCCCCAGTTATTGTCTTATAAACTCGAAACCCTTACACCCAGGGCTGATATCCCCTACATCTCCCTGCCTGTTGCAGATTGCCCCAAAAGCCAGGAGTCGTCCCCAGCCCTACCCAGCAACACCCCTAGAGGATGCTCTTACCTGAGAGACCTGAACAGGGTTGAAGAGGGGGACTGTCCCCGCCGGTGGGGGAGATTCATGGGAGCTAGTCTGGAAGGGGTGAAGGGAGAGAAACTTAATGGCCACCCCTCAATTTCAGACACCTCCTATCACGCATTAATAAACCTCCCTGCTCTCCTGCTGACTCCCTGCCATCCATGTCCCGTGAGCCTTTCATCTCAATGGACACTAGAGTAACAGCATAGCTATTTTCACCTTGCATTTCTCCTGGGGCATGCAATGAAAAAAACCTTTAAAATTAAGAGGAGCAGCTTCTAAAAGGCCGGTAGAGAGAGGGGTGAGGGCACCCATACAACATTTACGGGGGTTTCTGGAGTGAGGCTGAGATGAAGGGCTTGTCCCAGCTGTGAGAGGGGCATCAGGTGGGGATGGTGACATCTGTTCCTGAAACCACATCCACCCGTTTAGAGCAGAAGCTCCTTGAATGGCAAAAAGACCTCTGCACCAGATACCACACCACACTTGCGGGTACTGCTCTGCAGCCATCCTGCTGGAGAGGTACCCTGAGAGCTGCAGGCACCCAAGCTAAGGAGGAGCTACAGGGTCCGGGCAAGCAACCCCAGTCACAAAGCTAAACAACCCAGAGAGCTCGAAATTAGGCAGGAGGCTGGACACCAAGCCTGTGTGCTGTGTAATGGGCCACCAGGGTCCATCCTCATCTCCTGCTAGTTTTGGAAGAATATCCCGGAATTCCCTGCTCGAGGATGGTACGTCATCCTCAAGCAGGAGAAAACTTCCAGGGAAGGATCTTGCTCCAACATCTGCCTCCAAGCCCACCATTGGCCTGCAGTCAGGGATGCGACACCCTAAGAACTCAGCCAGGACTGGGGTAACCATGCATGGCTGCTTCCCTCTCTCTTCAGCTTCCCCCTTTCTGCTGCACTTCCAATTAAAGAGGTGTTCCTTCCCTTCAGCTCCTAAAATCTGCCCAAGCGGTGCCATTCACAGCTGCTCCTTTCCGCTCTGGCAGAAGGCAAGTGATCCCTGCAGATTTTGCCAAGTGCTTAGAGGACTTCCCAGATGAAAGAGGCTTTATAAATTTACAATTATTATTAATCAAGGATTCACTTCCAGACTGAAAGGGCTCCCGGTCCCACTCTCTCCCCACACAGAGCATGCTGAGCTGCTTACGGCCATGAAGAGCTGTGCGATGACACAGCCCAGCCACTTGCACGAGGATGGAGGGAGAAATAGTGGGTGAAGGGGCAGATGTGTCACCTGTCCCCGTGGCTGTAACCCTGGGTGTCACCCAGGGACAGGACAGTCTTTCATCCCCTACCTGTGGTCCCAGACTGGAGGATTCTGGGGCCATCTCGGACACGGCTTTGGGAGATGTTTCCTTGGTGGGCTTCGACCGAAACCAGCCAAACCACCTGAATCCAGAGTTCTGGGAAATGGAGGTCACCACAGTCAATGGAAATGCATGAAAAGGGGAGGATGCCACAGCCGCACAGATGCCCAGCCAGGAGCAGGCACCATTTTGTCCAGGTCACGGCAGGCACAGCGGGCATCAAGACAGGCAAGCTCAGAGCATGAGGCTTCACATCATCTCTGGCGTGCTCACCTTATCCTCACCGGGCTTCACTGCCTCTTCAGCAGCATCTTCGTCTGCACTATCTGAGGAAGGCTGGCTGTCACCTTCCAAGGAGATGGTGGAGCTCTCTGAGATGGTCCGACCCCTTGCCTTTAACTCCTCCTAGCATCAGAGATTGGAGCTGCCACGTGGTGTTCCCAGAGGAGCCACCCCAAGCATGATCAGAGCATCCTCAGGACTCCTCCATGTCAGGCTTAATGGATAGCATCCCCAGGGACCCCCAGCGTCCCTTACACAGCAGGTGGGGAGGGATAGCACCCACAGCAGGGTGCAGTGGGTATCCCATGGTCCCAGAGGTAGGAGGCTGGAGAGGGCTACCCTAACCTGTCAGGTCCCCAGAAGGGACAGCTGGCACCATGATGGGGGGTTTCTGTGCGAGTTGAGTCCATGGAAGAATGAACCAGCAAGTCCCAAATCTTCCCAGGACCCTCAGTGGGATGATCTCCTTGACCACTCTGACTCACCTTCTCTGCTGAGAGGGATGGCTGCACTCCCCTGGGGGACGCTGGGGCACCCCATGGCTCCCCAGCTTCTCCTGTGGAGCAGAGGGAAGAACACAGTCAGAGTTTGGCCCAAGGAGCTCCTGCCATGTCTATCAGAGGTATTTTCAGTGCTTCTATCATCCCACCCCAGAGCAAGGCCGTATGGCCAAGATGTCTGCCCAGGAGATGCAAAAGACCATTCTGGATCCTGTCCATGCCAGCACCAGGGAGGGAGTATGTTACAAGGCTGCACTGGTGCAGCTCAAAAACCTGCCTTGTGCTGCTGGACGCGAAGCTGGTTTTCCCATCTGGGCAGGGAAGCAGCGGCACTGCCACCAACCTGCAGCTGCCCCCCCGTGCTACTTTGAGCAGGGTGGTCAGCAGTGGTGGACTTGGTTTTCATTCACAGCACTGAGGCAAGCGTGGCTCCACGTCTGTGCAAGGTTGGAGGGAAACAAGGCGCTCGGTGGAGGCAGCACTAGCAGGGATCAGCACTTGAAGTGACACACATGTGGTAGGGGATCACGCTTCCCCAAGGGACACCCCGTCCAACTGCTGTGCTACTCATTGGGGACAGGCATTTTTGCAGAAAACAAGTCTGGAGCACTTACCTGCTGGTGGCACCACCTGCAGAGGGGGTTCAGCAAAAACCCCTCCCAGAGGGGCAGCCATCCCTGGGCCGAGTGTGGTGGACTGCAGCTCTTGCCCAATGCTGAGCAGCGACGATGCTGCAACCTGAGTAGGTGCCAGGGGCTGGAGAGACATGTCCTCATGGGAGCTGGGTCCCTGGGGTGGCACGGGCTGGTGCTGCTCATCATACTGGTAGCCTTCACACTGTGGAAGCTCATGGCCAGGCTCTCCATCTGCAGAAAAAAACACCCAAACCCCACACCTCAGTGTTTATAATCTCATCGGGCTGTTGCACAGAATTCTCCCCTTTTCCATTACACATCAGCAGAGCCAGGTGGGTGAGGAGGGACCCCAGGGACCACACACAGGCGAGGGAGAAGGTAGGGCACAGTGCATCAGCAGGGACCTTTCAGAGGCTTCAAGGCAGGTGGGCTGTGAAAGACAGGGGGGAAACCTCCAGCAAATGTGCCTGAGGTTGCAAATGAACGCGGGAGAGGAATGCTATGGAAGCACAGAGACAAAGCACAAGCAGCACGTGCCCAGGAGTTCAAAGGAGCCCAGGGCCTCCAGCCTTTTATTCCACTCCTGCTGCACACCTCAAGCAGGAAAGAAAATTCACCAGGAAGCTGCAGCAGTCTTCACTACTGCTCCACAGGAGCACGCAGAGATAATTTTCTTGCTTTAGACAGGTTTATTCAGGGTCGTCTTTTTTGCTTGAAAGGCAGGTTGAGCAAGTGGAGTGTTTTATTTAACACACACACATTGCTCCGATGTTAGACATGGCACAGGCAGCATGCTGCTATTCACCCCAGGTGTGTGTCCTCTTGTTCCAGCTCTGCCACCTCCAGCCAGAAACATGCTGGGTACTGAGAAGTTTCTCTCCCATCACCATGAGACATGACCAAACAGGATCCAGACCCTGTGGGTCTGAGCCTGGGGACTACGGCACCTCTTGGATGCAGTGCCACAAAACCCTTTGCTTTGCCTGCCAGCATTGCCTCCAGCCTGCTCAGGGTTGGCTTCACACTTGCGAGCTGCTACTGCATGGCCTGGAGATGATTGAGATCTACAGGGAGGAGGATGAACACTTGACTCCATGCTGCCTGGCAAGTTCAGCTGGAAAAAAAAAAAAAGTCAGGGAGGATAGCCCAGGCTGTAAGAATGGAGAGGGAGGTTGCTGTGACTGCATAGATCCCAGCTTGACACTCGGGCTTTGTCTTTCCAAGATGGATGAAGTCAGCACCAAGTCAGCTTTCTCTGCATGCTAGTCCCTCAGATGGTGACTCTGGATGGCCAAGCATCAGGAAAGTGAGCTGCAAAGCCCACATGGAGCAGTCCTGGCCACTTAGAGAAGCCATCCCATTGTACCTGCAACTTTTTTCCAGAGGACGATGATCATAGCCTCAGCCCTGATAGCAGCAGAAGGCAATCAGGATTGATGACCCTTTTTACTGCCTGGGAGAGCTCTTTGAAGAGGAATTTGGCAGGAGCAGGGGAAGCTGATAGGAAGAAACAGCTTGGAGGAATTTGTCATGTTTTACCCTGTCTGCACCAGCCTTTATTCTCCACCCATCAGTGCCGGTGTTCCCAGCAGAAAGCTAGATCTGAGCAGCAGTGAGGAGCAGCGGGCTGTGCTGGGGCATCCTGCTGATGGAGGTGGCTGTGAGGCAATGCTGATGGGTCACCAGCTCCTGTCTTCTCCTTGATGGGACATCCCGATGGACACGCTGCCCAGCTAGGAAAGGAAAGCTCTCCAGTCTTTCCCTTGACAGCCACCCAGGGAGGCTGACGTCCCTTATATTGATGTCTCTTGACCCTCTGGGTGGACTGTCACTGGAGAGGACTCTTGGGGTCAATAAGAGGCAAAGCGAAGGGATGAAAGAGGCAGCAGGGAAGGGGAAATACTGGGGCTTCACCAACAGGCATGCTGCATGCAGCCCAGCACACAGAGGGAGGAGCTCCTTTCCGAATCTTTCGCTCTGCAAGTGTGAAATCCCCTTAGTTCAGCTCCAGTTTGCATCCTCAGAGGACTGTCTGGGAACACGGCCATCTCCCCTGAGACTTGGCCAGGAGGCACGTGCTTCGTCCAGCCGCCCACCCCCACTTCTCCTCCCACAGCACCCACAGGGACTTCTGAAGTTGTGGTAATTAGGCCAATTACTCAGACTCCATATGGAGGACATGAGCAGCACCCCCTCTGTTTGCAGCCCATCCCCAGCAGCCCCGTGCTGGAGGGATGCATTCAGGCAGGAGCACAATTTTGAGCTCTGGTAGATGTAAGGAGCAAGGTGTAGCTGCCAAGAAATGCCCCGGGGTGTAGGGAGCTCTCTCCCAGCCTATGGCAGCGCAACTCCACGTGTGGAAAAGCCTGCTGTGGTGATTGCAACCTGCTACTTCATTTTCTTTACCTGCCATCGATGCAGCAGCCCAGGAGGGGCCTGGTTGAGCAGGTACCACCTCCGGGGGGATGTCGTCTTCCACCTACAAGGAGATAGAAGGAAGATGTGATAAAACAGATGGAAAAACAGATGGCACGGGGCAAAGACTAAGGAAATCATGAAGCCAATGTAAAGGAAAGCATGGTGCTCATGGGTCTGGGACTCACCACCCATCCCAGGCTGCGGGAGCCCAGGTTACAGGGGAGACCCATATCAGCATGGTCACAGCCCTTTCCTAGCAAGCTGAAGGTGGCCACAGCACCACTGCCCTGCTGCGAGCAGGCAGGAGGGGAAACTGGAGGCAGAAAAGGGCATAAAACCAAAAGCAGACATGAAACCTGAATGAAGAACAGTAATCCAAGGACGAGACTACAGTAAGGGACCTAAGCGCACATGTCTGCAAGGTAATGCCCCACCAGTGTCCTCTGCAACACCCCCACTGCAAGAGATCATCATTCACCCACTAGCCCCTGACTGACCTCCTCAAGGCAAGACAAAGGAGGGTTTTGCCCCATGCGAAGCTCTACAGCCCTCGCTGCTCACACCCTCAGGCACTACAACCCCCCTGCTCCTACTGAAGCTGCAGGTCCCGCAGCAGAGACCACATCTCTGAGCTCACAAGCCAAGGGGAAAGGCACCTGGGTAACAACAGCCTTTGAACCTCCGTATTCATCCCCTTGGATTCCGGGCAGGGGAGGATGCTCCTGCAGATAAACCACAGCACAGACCAGCTGCCCCACAACATCTGCACTCCACCTTACCTCCCACTCCCGGCAGCAGGCTCGGAGCTGTACCAGCCAGCTGGGCTCCAGTGTCTGGTCCTGCTCTGGCATCTCCAGGAGCAGCGGGTCGGAGAACTTCAGCCGTTCAGCTAGCTGCAGAGCCAGGAGGGCAACAGGGCTTGTCACACATCTCAGCTCCACAGGGAAGAGACAGACCGTCGCAGCAATTGCACGTGGCCAGGCACACAGGCCCACGGGAAAATAGCACCAGAGCTGCACTTCATAATATGGGGGTAAAAGTAACACAACCCTCTTGTGCAAGATTTATTCCCTGTCCTGCATTGCTGCAGAGAGGTGCTGGCTCATCCGGTGCCCTGCAGAGAGCCTCCAAGCAGGGCTATCTCAGCCACCTTCACAGAGAGTACTGATGTCAAAGATGCTCTTCACATCAGAGAGGCAGGTAACTATTACCACCCTTTTTTCCTCTGAGGAAAACGAGCACCTTTAGTCCCACTTGACAGCCCGTGCAGAGCACCAGCAGGTTTGCAGGACACCCCACCAGGAGCCCTGAAAACACCCCAGCTCCCAGGGCTGGGCATCAACACCAGGATTGATGGGAGCTGGTAGAGTTTCAGCTAAGGGCTCACACGGCTGTTTCCTCACTCAGCTTTGCAACAAGCATTACCATCGCTAGTAACCACACAGAAAACAACAGAAATACAGGGCTGGGAGGGGCATTTTGAAGTTACCCAAGCCATCTGCCAACCTCAAGAAAATCCTGTGTGCCCACACCAGCCCGTGCAGCCTGTGTTTGTCTGATTTGCACTTAGAAATGTCCAAGGAGATTTCGCAACCTCCCAGGTTCCCACAACCTGTGCTGATGTTTAATGTCCTTAGAGCTAAGGAGTTTTTTCTTAATATCCAAGTGAAATCTTCCCTGCTGTAAATTAAGCCTCTCTTCCCACTCCTGTGGAAGCTGTGGGGACAGTCAGGCACCATTCTCTGAAAAGCAGCCTCCTGCATGCCGGAGGGCTGTTATCACATCCCCCATACCCCTTCCTCCTTCAGCATATCTTGCCTGGAAAAAATAACCCCGAGGCCTTCTTCAGAGGTCATTTTCCCCACAATCTCTTATCACCCCTGCTCTTTCCTGCGCTTGCTCCAGTTTGGCCCTGTCTCTGAGTACAGCATCCCAAACAAGGCACAGTGCCCCAGCCAAGACCCCCAAAACCCAAGCATGAGGGGATTATCACCTCCTTGTCTCACACATGCCGTTCTTGCTGTCACAGCCCAGAATAACATTATAACATTGGCTTTTTTTTTTTTTTTTTTTTTTTTAATGCAACAGCATCCTGTTACATGTTGCTGCTTAGTATTTTTTCCATGCCTCACTATCTCCCCCAGGTCCCTCTCTGCAGTACTGCTGCTGCGTGTCTAATTTCTCCTGCAAGAGAGGAGTCCGTGCTACCCTGGCTGCAGACATCTCAATGACATGGGGCTCCAGTTACCATCAACAGAACAAAAGGCTCTTCTGTGGTGACCCATCCAACATTCCAGGGTGAGACGGAGGGCTCCCTGCAGAGCTATATCCCAGTCTGGAAAAATTGCTTAGACAAGGGTCCAGTTTTAAGACAGCTGGATGAGGGGAGATGATACTCAAAGCACCACTCTTCATCTGAGTCTTTACTGAATTTTTCTCGTACTGGTATTGGCCCACTTCTTGGGGATTTGTTGAGCTCCCTCGCAGCTCCTTCACATTCATTTATTTTATATGCTTTGCTATGAGGCTGCCGCATTAAGGGCCACTAAAAGCCATCCAGAGGTGACTTTGCAGCTCAGCTACCCTCTGCAGCCAAATAGGTCTCAGCTACCCCTCCTGCACCAGTCCGCATCGGCCATTTCTTCCTATTCCCAACGTTTTTTTTTTTTTTAAAGTCCAAACCAGCACAAAACACACTTCCCAACTCCAGGAGGTTACAGCAAGACATGACTGTGCAGCCGGAGCCCTGCTGGGTACTGAGACTGACCATGGAGCGTGGAGTAAACCAGCACCCAGCCAGGAGCTTGCACTACCTATGGACCCACTGTCCCATCTCTTTGCAAACACACATGTGTTCATCCTAAATCAATTGCAGGAAAGAGGAAATTATAAGCATGATTACTCCTAAATGGGGGGAATGTTTAATCCAAAAGCTAATGTGCACTTTGATCCAATATTAATGAACTAGCACCTGGTTGTATATCGTCCCCAGCTTCAAAAGAGGGGAAGTCTTAATCAAACACTAATGTGTATCATAATTTGTAACACAGTCTAAAACATCAAAGACAAGAGTGTCTACGAATGCACTAGTTTTTCAGATGAAAGTGTTTTTTCCCAGGAGAAGCATTATCCCCAGCAGAACGGCAGATCTGAGAGGCTGTTAGACAGTAAATAGGTTTTGACGATGGGGTGGGGGTGCTGCACGAGCCAAGTTTTGGGTGATTTCAGCAGCACCTGCTTCAGACAGGCATCTTTGCTGCCCCTCATCTCACAGCACTGTGCCTTTTGACCCCTTCCTGATGGAGGAAGGCTTCGAGCAGCCTCAGCACTGCCCTGGTGATGTGCATGGACTGAGCAGACCCACTCGCCCAAGAGCCCAACCTGCCTGGGGCACCTGGGACACTTTGCTTCACCCCTCCCTGCTCTAGCACCCCGCTCATGACTCAGAGGAGCTGGGCTCAGTGCTACAAGCTGGGACACACTCCTATTCACTGTGACCCCAAAACAGCCCCTGGCAGGTAAATGGAATTGTGGGATGTGTGCTGGAGGGGAAATGTCAAGCACTCAAACTTCAGCTTCTTAAGTCTGTGCCATTTAGAAGTTCAAAAAGCCTCTCCAGAATAAAAAACATCCTCTGCTTCCAAATAACTCCGCTCCTACTTGTCAGTCAACACAACTCCTTTGTTTTCTACCCTAAATCCACGGGTATTACAGACCTCATGGAGGTGTTGGCTTTGCTGTACTCAGCACACACCAGGCAGCAAACCCTGGGGAGCTGTTCAGAGCTGCCAAGCACCCCAAGGATGCTTCCCACCGCACTGGGTCATGAGTGGGTATTCACACCCTGGCGAGGATGCAGGGATGTACAAGACTCACCTTCATCACTTGCTGGACAAGGACGGGGTGGCTGGGCAGATCCTGGCCCAGGAGCACAGCGGCAATCTGTTCACAGTATTGCAGGGCCTGGGCTGGGAGCCCGTAGTCGGCCAGGCGAGAGGCATAGAGGAGCTTGTACACCTCGGGAGAGGGAAGCAGAGCAGTCATAGGTGAGCAAGGAGATGCTCATGCCTGTGGGTCCCCTCTGCCTCTGCCCCTCTGCTCTGCCTCAGAGCACCCTGGATCATGGGTCTCATCACCCAGAGGTCACCTGCAACTTGGGGGCACCCCCACCATCCCCATGGAGCCTCACTCCCCGAACCACAGCACTGTCACAAGGCCAGACTGGCTCAGAGCCAGCAGACAGGTGGTGGGGAGAGCACACCAGCCCACATTCTTCATTTACCCACCCGATCTGCGCAGCTCCCCAGGCAGCACCAGACGGGTGCTTATTTGCGCTACGAAAAGCCTATCCGTTACCCAGAGAGCAGGAAGGCAACCAGACCTGAGCAAGCACTGATCAAATAACACTGTGCCCCAAAATCTGCCCAAAGCCATGCCCTGGAGCAGCCGCTTGGCCAAGGCAGCCTCCCCATCGCTCCCAAAGCCCAGCAAGGGGACAAGCCTTGGAGAGCAGCCTGAATCCCTGGCTTCAGGGTGCATGTTTTGGGGCAGGTCTGAGCTGCTCCACCAGATGTGCTTGTGCATCTCTGCTACCTGGAAGGGGAGCAGGAAGGATTTGGGCTGCTGTAGCTGCTGGCAGTACTCAAAGATTTCCATCCGCTGGATGGCCTCTGTCCTGGCAAACTGGGCGAATGGCTGACTGCAGAGGAAAGGGGTAGGTTCAGTAAGCAGGAGCAGAGCTCTCTCCCCAGATAGCCACACACAGAGATTCACAGCTCCACCGCTGTGCCAGCCTGCAGCTGGAGAGGCCCAGAGCAAATCTGACATTAAAAGCAGTAAAAACCCACAAACAGGGATCATTTCTGAAAAAAAGTGAGATCCCAGGGATGGGGAGAAGGTGGTACACGTCACTCTGACAAGAGCACCACCTCCTGGGCTCACTAACCAGTGGCTGCTGCCCAGCAGGGCCATGCGGTCTGCCTTCACCCCGAAGTAACCAAAAGGAATATCTGCCATCAGGTAGCAGAAATGAGCGGCTTCAACTGCTCCCCTGCCAGCTGGATGTGAAGAAAAAAGAAAAGCACTTAGTCTTGACAGAGAAGTCACCATGTGGTCAGTGTTGCTTTGGAGGCCCCCGAGCTCACATGAAAACCCAAACCCAACTGCCCCACTTTTCTTTCCTGTCCATGCAGACCCTGATCCCTACTCCCTTCTCCCTGTTTTTTGTCTGTTTTCCCTGACTGCTGATTTCTGTACCTAGCAGGGGGGTTCAGTTCAGTGGTAGGACCAGGGGAGCCTGAGCAGGGTCCAGCTCCAGCTTCAACTCTGCAGGATGGCATTATTGGCATGAAATCCCTGAGAGTCCCTGCCACCAGGAACAAGTCTCCATCCCTGCAGTTACATATGCCGCCCCTAGGTCCAGCTGCTCCAGGTGTCTCCAAAAGAGCAGCTAATGGACGTGCCTGAGCCTGACTCATCTGCCGACATGAAGGACAGTGGGATCCATCGATGCCTCAACCCTGCCACCACACAGGCACTGCAGCTCCAGGGGCACAGGCATGCACGCCCCATTGCAGAACCAACGTACATCCATGCCAGCATGGACATGCATAGTGACATTGCAGGTGTCCACTCAGTATTACAGGAACGTAGCTGTTCACAAGTGCCTCTGCTTACCCAAAGTATCTCCCATGGTGGTAATGGCTCGATGGTTCAGCTCCATGTCTCCAGCCTTGTTGGACAACATGACAGCAAGGTGGGGCCTCCAGTCTCCCCACATGGCATCACCACAGCACTGGAGGGAGATGAGAAAAGAGCAAAAGTAAGCAGAGATCGTCACCACAAAGTGGGTGTCACGGGCAGGTGACAGCACAGGGTTACACCCTCTGGGGCCAGCCTCTTGCTCACGGACCAGTGCTGCCTGAGGGATCCTTCCCGACATGAGCTGGAAGAGGGTCTGCAGGGGGTCATTGGTGGCCAGCGTGCTGGTGAAACTGTGAGGAGACAGCAGAGACAGGACTGCTGTGCCGGGACCCCAAACCCTCATTCACCTCCAAGGGCATGTCCCAAATGCCCCAGGAAAGCAGTGTCCTGAGGGGCTTCCCAGAGAAGGCAGAAAGGATCGTCAGCCCAGCAGGCTGATGATCTGCATTGCCTCCAGAGCAGGCAAGTCTCCAGGACAATGCTGGATAAAACCTCCTTAAAAGGATTCAGGTTGCACAAGACAGAAAATTTCTGCTTAACTCTCCCTGAAGGGATCAACCCAATCCAGACTAAGTACATTAATTCCACCAGAAAACATTCGTACAAGTGGGATGAACAGCTCAGACCAGGCTGGATCACTGTGAAGATGGCTCAGCTCTCCCTACTCCGATGACTGCCTTTGCTAGGGCAGCAAGGGCAAAGCCGAAGACTCAGAATACATCCATCCCATATCTCCAGGGAATGGCCTTCCTTCTGCTTTCCAGACCTCACTTCATTTCTCCTGTCCATCAGGAAGCCCGAAGGACTCAGGACCATCTGGATAGATGCCCCCTCTCCGTTTTGCCCCCTCTGAAAGGTTTCAGCTGCAATCAATGCTCTTTCTTCAGTGCACTGGGGCTGAGGGCACCCCAAGAGATAACAGGCTTAGCAAAGCCAGCCACAGAGCATCATACCTCGCTTTAGCTTCCCCAACTTACCCGGTGAGCACCCAGCTGTAGGTCCGAGGGTCCATCTTGCTGGAGAGGAAGAGGGCATGGCCCCACAGCTGGTTTCTCATGGCCCAGACCAGAGCGTCCTGCAGCCAAGGTGGAGAAGGAAAAGAGTTTGCACTAACTGTTTTTCCCTGCCCTCCTCCACTGCTAGGGGACCCTCTGCTCACCCAGCTCAGAGATGAGCTCTGGTGACTGCTCTGGCTTTAACTAATACTCTCCAAAAAACTCTTCTATATTCACAAAGGCCCCTTTATATTTCTACCTTGCATGGTGACAAGAACTGGGACCTTCATTGTAATATTGTCTTTCCTGGATTTCCAGGTCTGTGCTGCCCATTAGCTCTCAATGTCACCACTGTGGGATTTCAGCCTGGGCACCCAAGCTTCTCTGCATCCAACCTTCCTCTCTCTCTCTCTATGCCTTTGGTATCCCTTGAGATCACATAGCTGCGACTAAACCCATGGTGCTGGTAAAAGCCTCTACATCTTGTCTTCAATCAGGGCTCCATCCCAGTTCCCAACGGTGGGAAATCACTGCCATAAGCTCTGTTGTACAAACAGCCTGAAGGGTTGATACCACAAGTACAAGGCATCTTTTGACGACACTTCCTTTTAAAACCTGAAGAAGCCAAAGGGGCCAAGAACAAAAGTCAGCCCTGTGTCCCGGATCCCACACCACTTACTTTCTTCCTGCCGTAGTAGAGCAGTTTGGTGAACTTCTCCACTATCTGTGCCTGTGTCTCCACAATGGGAGGGACCTCCCCTGTGATGAGGTCCAGTGCCCCTGGCTGACTCGACATCCACTCGTCATCTGTCAGGCCGATCAGGTTTGCCGCGGGGTTTTGCCTCTTGTACTTCTCCTGGCGCCTGCAGTCTTGCATCAGCAGCTCAGCTGTGTCTGAGCCCACCATGGACTGTGAAAGGGAAGGTGAAGAGCAAAGCCCATGGAAGTTGCCCCGTGAGAAAAGGCTGATGGCACTTGCAGTTTGACACCCTTACACTCCTGTCCTTGTCCTAGCACATCTCCCCAACAAGACCAGCCTTGGCCACCAACATGCAATTTTGGAGGGCAGAGGATTTGGCACAACTAGCAAGACCAAGTATTCACTCTGAAGATCTTATTTGTCTGCTTCCAACAAGCAGACACAGACTAGATTGGGCGGATTTCATTGGGTTAAAGGAGAAATCCCCTCTTAAACATAAATGCTGGTTCCTTGATGAAGGTGGCAACAGTCCCTTTCAGAGCTGCTATAGCCTTGTGTTGTTGGTGGTTCACAAGGTTGAAAAGCAATCCAGAAGGGTTTGCTCCAAAAATCTAGGCAGTATCAAACTGATTGATGGTACTGTAGGAATGGGATGCTTTTAAGGTACAACCCCCTGAAAACAGCAACTGGATCGAGAGGTACATAAGGGGCACATAACTTGTCTCACTTCCAAGATCAAAAGGGCCAGCCCCTTCCCATGGGACACTTACCCCATTCTGCCGGCAGAGGAGGAGCAGGAGTTTCCAGAGAAGAGCTGAATCTCTGCCTCTCTGTGTTGAGAGATCACAGCTCGCGGCTATCTTCTGCTGGCAAAATGTCATCACGTCTACCTTGTGCAGATCTTCCCTACAGCAGCAAAGAAAGCCATCAAAAGAAACCCAAGGCAAAGCAATCTAGGACATCACTCAGATTCAAAGCATCCCTAGGTTCACTGATGGGAATGCCAAAGTTTCAAAGTGAGAGATGGAGAAGATCTGCAGTGTCAACAGCCGTATACCACCCCAGAGACACCAAGTTTAAAAATGCTTAAATTTGATCATCGTTATGACTCTTTGCAGATTTCTGCATTTCAGGCATGCAGAGGGCATCTCAAACCCTCTCTCTGCCCTCCCGATAATATTTTCATCCATCCACCTGCAAAGAACCTCAGTTTTGCTTCTCTGTGCTGCTGTTACAGCCATGGATACCCGAGGCTGTAGGAGCAGGCACACATACAGGCAGTATCTTTGATTAACGGGCACAGTGCAGGGAGAAAGACATGCTTGTGACTACATAAACCCTTTGAGACTGAAACTGAAGCAGAAACCTTTAAGCAATGTGCAAACCAGGCAGAACTGCTGTTCTACAATAAATTAAAAAAAAAAAAGAAATCACACTGTTGGAAAGAAAAGGTGGCTGAGAGACAAGATCAGTCAGGGGTGAGGGACGAGGGAGAGAGACACTGATCCTGACTCATTCACAGCAACATATCATGTGGATATTCCCAACATCCCCTCCAGCACAAGTAACCTCCAGGTCTTCTGCCCAGCTTCTGCGTGTATGCAGCTCTTTTGCTCAGTAAATGGTTTTCCTCCTTCTGCACACTCCTCTCCCTGCTTTGGTTACAAGTGACCAGAAAACATGCTGGTGTAACCAGTACTATACAGAGCCAGCCTGTTGCAATACACTGTGATTCATCCCCAGGCTCACACTGGATGAAGGTGCATACTGGGTCTGACCCTTCCGTGCTCAACAGTCTCAGGGGACAAAAACCTTAGGAAAAGCTAAACCTCAGGTTGACCCAGGCCTTTAGGTATCCAGATATTTTGCAAAAATCAGTTTTCTGGGATGTGAGTTGAAAAGAAGGTCAGACTTGCAAATCACACTAAACCCACACCCTATGAATATTCAAAAAAATCCATCTCCCACAATCCAAACCAACCTACACCATAGCATAGAGCTGGGCTCCCAATCTGAACCTAGACTTGGCATTTGCAGATATCTCGAAACCATGTGGACCCTGAAGTCTGCCTTGAGCTCATATCTCCTCCCAATGGAGAGGTGCTCCCAGGCTAGTCATGCCAGCACAGCCAGGAGGACATAGCTTCTTGGACCTGCCGGTGCAGCATACCTGGCCAAGGGCCCTGGGAAGGCCTGTAGCTCCTCCAGCTCTTTTGTGTCATGAAGGATCACCTGAAAAACAAGAGCAAGTTCAGTAGCTGGACTCCTGCAATCAGGCCAGCCCCAGATGGCCTGGCTGAAAGTCAGTGCCTTGGCCAAGGGCTCAACAGTGCTGGTGAGCACATTCTCTGTGCTGTCTTAGGGTAACCTCAGAGCAGACTCTAAACCTTCACGTGGACCCCAATGCTAAGGTCCAGGAAAAAAATGCCTGTTGAGATGGCACCTGCCTCCTTTGGGAGGCAAAATAGGAGACTGAAATGCTGTGGTAGAGTTAGGGAATGGATATAGCCTATGTGTGGGAGCACCTCAGAAAGGTGAGAATTATTCTTCAAAGAGGTATGGACCACATCTGTCCCTGTCAGAAGGGGTCACTGTGAACAGGTCACAGATGACAAGGGTTACAGAGCTGAAGGAGCAGGATGAGGGGCCCAAATGCTGAAAGCAATGGCCAGGCCCAGGCTGGCACGATGCAGCCTCAAGAGTCCATGCGGGCTGGACATGAGATGGCAGCAGGGGACAGGAAGGCTGCTAAGAAGGCTGTTTTGGTCATGAACGGTGTATGCACCCCTTCAGGGTAAAAAGATCCACTCCAGCAAGGGGACCAAGGGTGGTCTGGGATGCCAGGCTGTGGCATACCTCCAGGCTATGGCATACCTCCAGGCTATGTAGCTCAACATGGGCTAGCTGCCCCTCAGCAGGGTGGTGGGGACACACCAGTACCAGCTGGCCTCCAGCTCCAAAGCACACTGCCATGTGCGGCAGTGAGAACTTGAGGGGTACCACCAGGGCTGGAGTGGACACCAAGGGTCCCCCTGCAATGACACATGGGAAACGGTGAGTCCCCTCACCCAGACCCCACGCCACCTCCACTATGCAGGACGTCACCAGGTCCCAACCTAGCCCTCCAGCTTTTTACTAACCCTCCACTGACCCCCCTATGCAAGGGCCATCCCCTAAAGCAGAAGGCATGCATGGCAGCTCCTGCACCTACCAGGGCAGAACCACCAGACCATGCACCAACCCTGCGGCCCTCCAGTCATGCCTTGAGCCTGCACAACCTCCTCCAGGAAAGGACCAAGCTGTGAGACAGCAAATCTCCTAACACCAGACATTTATTTCCTTGCCCCTCCCTGCCTTGTCAGAGGGGTCCAGGGCCCCATCACACCTCACCTGCTTGTGCCGGGCTCCAGGTCCCTGAAAGCGCAGGGTCATAGTGGTCAGCATCATCACGGATGTACTGGCTGAGCTCGAAGCTGCTGGAGCTGAGCCCTGACTCGCGGTACTGCAGGAGCAGGCTGGGCTGGCCCAAGGGCTGCAAGGAAGGAAGAAAACACAAACCTGGCTGAGGAACTAGGGACACCACTGCTTTTCTGCTCCCAGGGCAGTGCGACAGGCTCTGCTGCTCTGTAAGCTGAAACAGCTCAGTACACCTGATTCCCATCTGAGCAGCTCACTCTCCAGCATCTTAGGTTCATCGTGGCACATACCCTGGTCATACCCACTGGCTTTTAAAATAATTTACATCAACCACTGGTCTAGCCCAACAGCTTTGCTAGCCCAAACATGGACTCCCCAATGCAGTCAGCAGACAGTGCTTGGGAATCCAAAAAAAGCTCTTCCCAGGAGCAAAACCACCAGAGCAGCTTTTATCTGATCTTTTAACTTGCTCTTTGGCAAAACACAGTAATCAGGACACAAGTATGATGGAGCAGATCTTGGCAGACAGAGCTGAAAATGACACACAGCTTTTGGCTACCCAGGGAGCATTCCACCAAGCCTGGATTTCTGTCCTGCTCTTGGCCCCATGCAGGAGTGGTGTACAGCCCCATGCCGGGGGCAACAACAGCCCAGCAGATGGAGACTCCATAAATACTAATAACTCACTATAATGATCCTCAGAGACTGTTAAGCACTGAGTGTGACATAGCAAAGCACCCCTTTTCTCCTCGGCCTCCTTCCCAGCTGGAGGATGGACACATGGATTGCTCCCAAAATCTCTGGGAGATACCCAAGCCTTTTGACCTCCACCCCTACCCATCTTGAGGTTACCTCCTGGGGCTGGCCACTGGCCTCCCCCGAATCGCTGCTAAGGGTTTCTCCCCCTGCCCACTCAGGCTGGCCAGCTGAGACATATCTCTCCTTGTAGGAGTCGTAGGTCTGCATCCTGCAGAAGGGAGAAAAAGGAGTTGCCCTGAAGGTCAGAGACTTTTGGGACCAGCCACAAACTCACTAATTTTGCAGCAGATGGTTGCACTAGGTGATGCCCAGACCCACCCTCCCCCTTACCTGTCCTGCCCTGGGGGGGTCACCAGGTTGGGGTGGTAGCCCCTGTAGTAGTGCTGGTCCCGGTAATTGGTACTCTTGCCATAAGGGTCTCCCTGTCTCAGGTCTAGAGAGAGAATCAAGATTTAGCATTGCCCCTCCAGAACAACAAGCCATAATGAAGTTGCAAAAGAAAAGCAATGAGTCAGGCAATTTGCCATGCACACCCCATTTGCTTCCAAATTAGCCTGACACGTTGGAGGTATGATAAAGCCCTGTACAAGTTTGCCAACACATGACTGATGTCCTTTCCTCTTTCCTCCCTCCCTTTTTCTTCAGTCCAGGAACTCCATAAACAGCAAAAACGAGGCCCTGGCCACCCTGATCACACAGCACCATCAGCATCGAGTTCAGCCTGGAACCTGGAATGACACAAGTTTTTAGCTATGGAGATCAAACATTCCCTTGGGCGCACCTAGTTTCTTCTCACATTTCCCAAATCCAGACTGAGAGCAGTGTTGCACTGGGAGAACAGCACCAACAGCCCAGGAGTGTGGGCTGGAGAAAGCCCTGGAGATGTGCAAGCTATGCGAAAAGACCCATCCTGCAGAAAGCACTGCCTCTTCTCCTGCAAGCAAATTGCCTCCATCCCCAGACCCAAAGGATAAGCCCATACCTCTGTCATCTTGCCAGGCCATCGGCTGCCGCTGGTGGCTTTGGTAGGTGTAGTCATCCCTGTAGCTGGCTGCTGGATACTGCCAGTGAGGGTCTTCATATCCTTGCCTGAAACACAACACAACATACTTAATCTAAGAAAGGGCACCACTGCAGGTTCTGGACCACATTGAGGGTTAGACTCATGCCCCGGATGGGACCTTTGGAGGCAGAAAGGGTAATGGAAATAAAGCCAGGTCCCCTGCCCAGGTGCACTGCTCAGCAGCAGGGCCAGAAACTGGACCAGCGTCACACCTGGAAGGAGCAGCAGGAGGTTGGGGCACTTTCCCATCCTCACCTATGAGAAAGCTGTGCACTGCAGTTTCACGTGATCCCCAGTTTCAGCTTGGTGGTGTGGACTTTTCATGGGGATCAACTTTCACCCATGTTTTAGGAAAGGCCCTGCAAACCCACCTTCTCCACCAAGCTCTGGAGCTGCCATATCCACTGCACAGCTCAGCAGGTCTCCCCCGCACCGGAGCCCAGCCCCAGCCTAAGCCATCCTCCCAGCACTCACGTACCTTAACCCTTCACAATTTACACAGCAATTTGGTCAGCCCCATGGAACACCCCCCTCCTCAGTGCGAGCATCGCACAACCTCAGCACAAAATATTGTGTATCCACACCATAACTCACCGAGGGCAATAACTCAGGCAAATCAACCCAAATTTACTGGAGCAGTCGGAACTCTTTCTCAGCACCACGAGCATCCTCTAGCCCACATTTTATCCTTCCACCCTCCACTGTTTCAGCAGCTGAGCTTGCAAGCTCTTTTGCTCCTATATTACCATTTATTTTTTTATTGTTCACCTTGCACTTAGTAAAAAAGAACTGCATTTAATCAAACCTTCAAGAAAAATGCACCTCGGGACTGAAACGAAGCCCATAAAACAGCAATCGCAGATGTCACAGCTGCAAGAAGAAATTGGAGCTGCAACTACTACGCAACCTGAAATACAGAAGTCACTGGCTGCTTTAATAGCTGGACATCAGCTAATTGCACACTGTTCTCTCTGAGCCTGCAGCGAGTGGCTGCTTACCACTTTGCCCATGCCATGACGAGGGCAGCATCCAGGCTGCAAGCCCATGAGAGTGGTGAAGTGGTCAAGTGTTGGTTTACAAGGAGGGGGCTCAGTGCAAGCATTGCAAAGTGAGGCAGCTCTCACCTGGAGTACGGCCTGTTGGGGTGGCTGCTTTCATAGTATTCAGCCTGCGAAACTGGTCTGCGAGTGTCCCTCCAGCCGTGGTGGCCCTCATCCCAGGGGTGGCCAGGGAGGTGGCCCCCATCCCAGGAGCCATGCCGAGGTGGGGACCCAGTGCGGAGGAGCTGTCGCCTGGGCTGCGGTGGGGGGCCGCGGTGCGCCTCTCCCCATGCCCCCCAGGCTGCCTGCCTCTCCCGGGGCTGGGGCAGCCTGGCAGGGGCCCAGGGGTCCATCACAACCTTGCCAGTGAGATCCTCTCCAGTTTTGGGGTGGAAGAAGAGTCACAAGTGGCTTTAGTGGCCTGCAAGCAATGAGATAAGTCACCGTGCATTTGATCAGTGGCTTTTCAGCCCCCTCAGACCCTGCCATGAAGCCTGTTGCTACCTACTCTCTGCTTTTGGGAGCCTGCTGGAAACCCAGTATCCTTTCCAAAATGCCCAGAGGCAAGGAAGACCCATCTCTACATCTGCTTAAACTTGAAGCTCCCCTTAAAACACCGGGATGAAAAGGTCCATTTTTGAAAGCAACAGGCATCCAGCTCTTCAGAGAGCAAGAGGCAGCATCCAGGTAGCATTCTCCTGCAACTCCAGCCAGCCCTGCAAAGCACCACTGCTCACAGCCTCCCCAAGCAGGTGAGAAATCAGCTTTACCTCTGTGACAGGGTGGTGAAATCCCATTTTCTACATGGTAGGGGAAGGGATAGCAGCAAAGCTACAAGCAAGACAAAGAGAGTTATTCTGAAAGAAATGGGTAGGGACAGAGGCAGGGCGAAATGGAGCTTTGCTCATGTGAGCTATGAGATAGGGTGGAAACAGGGATTTCCTCCTGCCTTTCAGCTCCATCAAGAATATAGCAGTTCAAGCAGACATCAGATTTACTTATTACAGTCCCATGCAGAAGAGGAAACCCCATGGAAAGCCCAAGGCAACACATGGGTGAAGCCCCAGCTGCAGGAGGGGATATCACCCTCAAGCCCCTCACACCTCCTCTTGCAGCATTGGTACCCAAACTGCCCCCACCACAAAGGCTCACAAGCCTCCCCAATGTGGACAGATGGCCAGATGCTGTCTGAGCCACTTGTTACCCCTCTCACACTTAAAGTTTAAGGCTTTTTGGGGTCATTTCAGGGATGGGAGGGGGACACACTCAGGTCTGAACAGAGGTGGCTCAGTTTGTGCCCCTTCTAGGTGAAATCAGGTTTAAACCCTTGCCCTAAATAGCCCCCAGTCACAAGCATCCAGACACCCATCGTTTTAGTCCCACCAAGGGCCCCCGTAGTTTTCGGCCAGGAGTTCCCACCACCATCCGCCCCCCGCGGCAGCCG